TCCTGCTGCACCTGCTGCTGCTCTTGCTGCACTTGCTGCCGCTCCTGCTGGTCCAGCTGCTGCAGCTCCCGCCTCTCCTGCTCGAAACGCTCCTGCTCCTCACGCTCAAGCCGGCGAAGAGCCTGGAGACGCGTGTCGTAGCGGTGTGGAGGCGCAGTGGGCGCCACACTAGTAGTGCCTCCAGCTCCAGTCTCCTCAGAACTAGCACCTCTAGTGCCATAAACTCCAGCTCCAGCACCTCCAGCTCGAGCACCCCCAGAACTAGCAGTACCAGTGCCAGCACCTCCAACTCTAGCACCCGCAGAACTACCACCTCTAATACTAGCACCTCCAGCCCCAGCACCCCTTGAACGCGTACCCCCAGTGGCAGCACCTCCAGCTCCAACACCCCCTGAGTCCACAGTAACAAGTCGAGTCAGTGCCAAAGGCCGTTGAGGTGACTGTGAGGAGGACTGTGGTGAGGGAGACGACGCCTGATGTGCTACTGAGGGGAGAGGGGTAACGTGAGACACACCTGACGGGGCAGGACCTGGGAGGGGGCTGAGGTAACGGAGGAGCGGGAGCAGGTTGAGGAGTGGGGGTGAGGAAAAGAGGAGGGGAAGGAACCGGGAGACCTCGATAGGGGTAGCGGGTGTGGTAGGACACAGACTCGTCAAAATGGACGTCACGGGAGTCGAGGAACCGGCGGGTGGTAAAAGTGAGAGTCCATCGAGAAAACAAGGAAGACGCATGAGCTGAGAGCTTGTCCGCAGAGGTGTCGCGGACAAGCGGAAGGCAGCCTCAGACACGAAAGGCCGACCCAACACTAGGGGACCAGGTCTAAAGACTGGTCGGTAAAGCCTCTGGCCGCGAGACACGCGGCTGGAGGTTCAGCTGGTGGGCGGCGTAGCGAACCGCGTAGGGCCACAGAAAATGGGGTGCAGGGGCATGGATCATGGACGTGCGGGCGATGTCCATGACCAAGCCAATGCGGCGCTCAGCAACCCCATTCTGTTGTGGGGACTCCGGAAGTGTCCAGGATTGTCTGATGCCCTGCTCGCCGCAGAACCCGGCAAGTACATCGGAGCAGAACTCACCCCCACAGTCGGAGTGGAGAAACTGATATGACGACCACGAGTGTCCTCAGTGGCCAGGAGCCACCGGATCAGCGTAGAAGTCATCTTGGACTTCTTTGCGAGAGGAAACACCGTGGTGTACCTGGAGTAGTCGTCAACGACCACGAGAAAGTAGCGCTCCCTCTCAGGTCCCTGCGTAGGGGCAGGGCCCCAGACGTCCAAGTGGAGAGCCAGTCAAGATCCGGTACTGGCAAGGGCCGACGTCGTGGCCACCGCAACGAGCTTCCCAACTGGCTGGGTCGCTGCTGCATTCAACGCTACCCGAGCCACCAGGCCCCCACGACTGCTGAGGGCGCCACGGTTGCTGAGGGCACCACTGCTGCTGAGGGCGCCACTGCTGCTGAGGGTGCCACTACTGCTGAGGGCGCCACTACTGCTGAGGGCGCCATTGCTGGTGAGGTTCCCACTGCTTAAACTGCCGCTGCTGCTATCCTTGCTGCTAGAGAACTCTAGTGGACGCCATGGTAAAGGCTAGCGGGGTGCAGGAGCGGCAGGCTAAGAGCGACTGGGCCCACAGCCGCTCGTCACCACCCACAAGGGCCCACTCCAGCAGTGCAACGCGCGCTAAGCCTGGCCACCACGCGTGCACGCCCTCCAGCAGTGCACTCTCCCCCCCCTCCGCCTCTATTGTGCTCAGGCTTTACGGTGAGCCTACTGCTCTTGGCATCTTTTACGGCGGGTGGCAGCCGCTCTTCCGTCCTTTTCACGGATTAGGTTTCCAGTGTTTCCTCCTAGCCTAGGTTTATGTCCGCCGATTTTCAGACCTGGCACTCCTCGCTCCACTCGCTCCTAACTCCGCTCGTTCGTAGGTCTGGCTATTCCTAGCTTCTAGCTCCTAGCTCAGTTTCCTCCTCGGTTTAACCGTTCCTCGCCTAGTTTCACCTGGCGCTCCTAGTTGTTCTCGCTCCTCGCTCCAGCCGCTCCTTGAGCACGTAGTTTCTAGCCTACCGTTTCTAGCTCCGGTTGTGTCTCACTCCAGCCGTTCCTGCTCCGGTCGCTTCTAGCTCTGATACCATCTTAAGATAGCTTAGGATAGGATGTCGAGAGAATTGGTGTGTGGGTTGGGAAGTGAGGGAGATACAAAGAGTAACCCAGAATTCTTGTACCCTCTAAGGGCAACTCACTGTAGCCTAGAAGCCTGACAATGCATATAAACATTATTTGACACCCGTAGCCGCCCCGTCATGTCTGTCGCGCCTCTACAAAGCGCCTACCGCCTGAAGCGCGCATGCCATTGCCAGTCGCCGCGCTTGCCATGCGCCTGCCCCTCGCCTTTCACGCACCTGCTGCGCGCACGCCATGCCTGCAGTCGTGGCCCTACTACCGCCGTACCACGGCCGCGTCATTGCGCCGCCTGCTGTGCCGCGCGCTGTTCGCCCGCCTGCCTCAAACAATCCCCTCCTCCGCCTATGGTTGTCCCCTCTCATCTACTGCAGATGTCCCCTTGCTCACTCCTGTCATGGCGTCTGAGTTTTTTATACAACTCGATGTGAAGGGGCGCGCGATTGAACTTGATGCGTGGTTGCTTGACGTGAAGCTCCCCTTCAGAGCTACCAAGATGACGTCTCCTTGTACGCCCACATGTAGGGTGAGCTACCTGCCTCCCAGCGTATGTTGCTCTTACTAATGAGCCCACCTTGGAGGAGTAGGAGGCTCACCGCGTAAACAAGCTTGCATACTCAATTTGGGAGTCGCGTGACGAAGCTGCGCGCCTTGCTCTTAGTCACCTCCTGCCGCCGGCCGAGCATGTGGACTTTTGCCAGGTCGAGACGTCGAAGGCGTGTCTTGATGCTATTGTTGCTCGCTATTCCAACCCCTCCTCTGCAATTCTGGGGCGCCTCCTCATGCCCTTCTTTTTCCCTGATCTCTATGTTTTATCTACTATCATTGACCTCACTACCCAGCTCCGCTCGGCTTCCGCGCTGCTTGCACTGCTGCCGATTTTTCTGAGCACGTCCCCCCCATGTATGCCACCCTAAACTTCCAGTGACCCGCCTCCTTGACCGCCTCGCGCCTGCCCGCGACACCCTCCTCGCCATGCACCCCATGCGCGTCACTAATCAATATTTATTACACTCGTCTCACTAAGATCTTCGCACCATCTCCTCCACCACTAGTGTAGTATTCCCCCCCATCTTTTAGGGATGCACTCCGGCCCCATTCCCTACCCCACCTGCCTCTGCTACTTTTGCTGAGTCTGCTGCTACGGCGGAAGTCGCAAGTCTCTTTGCCCCCTCTAGTGGGTGGGGACGGCGCAGGGGTGGTCGTGGTCATGGAGGAGGTTGAGGTGCTGGTACGTCGGGCAGTTCACAAACGTCTAAGGGGACTAGCTTTACTTCTGGCTAGCCCGGTGGTGCTAGTGTCAAATCGCGTACAAGAGTGACTCCAAAGCAGCAGCAGCAGCTTCACCAGTGGGACCTATTGATTACGGGAGGCGCCTAGGGGTCTTAAGTAGCCTGGGGAAATGCTGCCTCGTTCGAAAGGTTCGATTTGTTCAGGAAAGAGTTGCCTGAGAGCGCTGCAACATGACAGACCAGTGGTGCCTGTAGTGTGCAGTGAGTTGGGCAGTCATTGTCCTCAGCTTCCCCTGGCGGAACTTCTTCTTGGCTGCCGAGGTGGCTAGGAGGCGCAGGAACTACTATGTGTCGTGGTCAGAGCCCCAACGTCCCAACCGCCAGCTCAAAGGAGCCTACAAATTCCGGTCGGCCAGGCGATGTTTCCTCTTAGACGCCTCCTTAGCCGTCCATCCTGGCAGTTTCCGTGCCCTCGTATCGCGTTGCTGAAGCACAAGGTCGGTCACCGTCACGTCCGTCACCCAAGTCTCATTATACTCTTTGTTTCTAATGGCCAGGTCCCCTCTCTTCCTGATCACTAGTGAAGAGAAGGCAGAATTCTTATAGAAGCATGTGAATTCCGCTTCTCTAGCCATCCTTAGTGCGGCATACACCAGCGCGTTATGCGTCCTGACCACATCCCCACCCTGTCCGCATCTCAGGAGATGGTTCGGCAGACTTGTCTCCATAATGTCAGAGTTCCCTCGCTTGCAGGGGCACTTCACAATGACCGACAAGGACATGCCAAGGCGGAAACCCACCATAAGGGGCATATGTAAGGTCAGCTCTCGTGGGCACGGCATGTAGCCAGTCCCCCGCCCCCACCCCATGCAGACTGATGAGGCGTACCGCGTGCCCGCGGTGAGTGCCAGGGTGGTCGGTGATTGTGTCAGCCAGCAGCTCTGCTGCTCGTGTCTCATTGATGTGGGGGACAACACGAGCTGTAGGTTTCCCCTGTATGGCCGGTCATTCCCGGAACGCTTGTAGTGCAGTTCTCACAGCTGCCGGCACAGCTGCTTCAAGTGGGACTAACCGGTTGACCCTAGGTGGGTTGGGGCTCCATGCATGGTCGACTAGCGTGACTGCCCTGCTCAAGAGGTACGCCTCCGGTAGGTTCATCTGCCAAAGGAGTTGTTGGGCCACTGTGACCGGCGCTATGTAGGCTGCAGGTGCTTCCAAGGCTGGGTCAATGATGCCTAAACCCCCCAGCCTAACAGATACTGTGCCTTGCCGCTAGAGTAAGCTCTGTTCTAGCTCACTCGCTGGGACCCATGGTTTGGCCGCTGCTAGTGCCGTCACCATAAAGGATTCACTCCGTGTCCTCCACTCCTCCCTCTCAAGCACTGCCGCCAGTGTTGTCCGTAGCAGATAGGATATCCTGCGTAAGATACTACTCGAGAGTATTAGCATGGCGTGCTGGGGGTGCACTTGACCCACCAGAGGTAACGGTGCTGACGCTTTGGTGACTTGTATTTGTGCCTGATTGGTGCCGTATCACTCTCTATCGCTTGCTTAAATTTGAATTGGCGTATACGGTTTCCAACTTGCCTAAATGCAGCATCTGCCACCCATTTTGCAACCCTACATATCCCATTCTCACTCTAGGCATCAAGTGGGTCAGAGCCAAGAAGGAGCTTACAAGTTTCACAACCATCCTCTCCACCCACCATGAGGATCTCAGCTTCCACGACAGCCTCTTGCAGATGCTTTCAACTGACGACTGGCAGACGGCCTATCCCAGCACTGGTCGGTTGTGGATTGCGGTGGCTGTGCTCCCAATCAGCACCATTGAGTGTGAGCGCGGCTTCAGTCGGCAGAACATAATCAAGAGCTGGTGTCGCCTTAACTTGTGTAATGCGACCCTTGGCAACCTCATGATCATCTCCCTCCTTTACTATGACATGGATTGGGAGGAGCTGGTAGAAAGGTGGCATGCGAGCAAGAAGAGACGGCCGGCCAAAGACGCCGTCACGGCGCAGTCTTCTCGCCCGTTAAAGAAGCGGCGTTCACACCACCGACAGAAAGCTGCAGCAGAATCATCAGCAGCACCAGCAACAGCCGCACGAGAAGAGGCGCTGCAGGCTACGAGCAGGGAGAGAGAGAGAGAGAGAGAGAGAGAGAGAGAGAGAGAGAGAGAGAGAGAGAGAGAGAGAGAGAGAGAGAGAGAGAGAGAGAGAGAGAGAGAGAGAGAGACGGGCAGAAGAAGAGGCATGCAAATTGCCCGTCTGGACCAAGAAGGGGAAATCACAAGTTCTAGAGGAGGATGTCTCGGAAGACGATGATACTAATGATGGTGATGGACCTGGAAGTGATAGTGAGTCTTCGGAATAAGCTAGGAGTTGTACTAGCATAAGTGCATAAGGGTGTGTAGTTTAATTAATATGTATCTAGCAATCTAATGTTTTTAGACTAGGCATAAAAATTTGTCTGAATTCTAAGACAAGGCCACATTTTTTGTCTGAAATGATAGACATAGCTTCATACTCCATCTGACGCTCAGACAAGCCTCCAAAACCCTGTCTTATAGCCAGAAAGGGCATTTCACTAAAGTTGTTCCTGTACACACACCCTTAATTGTCTGCATCAAATAGCAAATGACGGCTGGCGCTTAGAGTCTGACGCACGGTAACTAATGTGCAGCAACTGTGCCGCGCAACAACAGCGCACAGCAGGTGCCCAACAGGCACGCGAAAGGTGAGCAATCCAGTAAGAAGATGCTGTTAATACAGAGAACCAAAAGATGAGAAAGAGAAGCACAGCAGAATGGGAGAGAGGGAGAGAGGAGGAGGAGAGACTTGCACAGCAGAAGCATTTGGAGCGGCGTCAGTAGGTGCAATGGCGTCAGCAGAAGCCCCCCCTGCCCCCACCCCACCCCCACGACTCAGGTCGCAGTAGGGCGTGTGTGCCGCATCAGCCCATCATCATGTCAAATATATATATATTATATGTTGTAGTTATTGGTAGGCTGTAGTGGGGTAGATTTTGTGGGGTATAGCCCCTTAGGATTTTCCTACTTGTAAAACTCTCTCGATAGTTGAATCCATCCTTGCCTAAGTCTCGACATGGTATCTAGAGCACTAAGGTCTCTAGGACCTAAGAATAGGGCCCACCTTTACTGAGTTACCTCACCTACAGCCTCATTGCCTGCCTGCCTGCCCTGCCTGCTGACCGCGCGCGCCTCGACTGCTTGCGCGCGTCACTTTTTTTTCCCGCGCGCGCCCCTTAAGCAGCCCGCGCGCAACCCGTTTAGGCCCGTTTAGGCCTGTTTTCGGCCCCGCGCGCCACGTCAGCCGCCCGCGCAGCCTGACGCCGGCCCACGCGTCGCGTGAGCCGCCCGCGCGCAGCCCGCTTAGGCCCTGCGCGCCGCGTCCGCCGCCCGCGTAGCCCGTTTTTTTTCGGCCCCGTTTTAGCCTGCCGCCGGCCCCGCGCGTCGCCTCCTCCAGTGACGGCGCGCTGCCCCCCGTCGCCCGTCACGGCGCCTGTGGGACCCGCGCGCTGCCCTGCACCAGCTACGCCGCCCCTGGAGCAGCCGCCCCTGGACCCAGAGCAGCCGCCCCTGGCCCCTGAAGCAGCCGCCCCTGGTGCAGCCGCCCCTGGACCCTCGAGCGCCGCCCCTGGCCCCTGAAGCAGCCGCCCACGGCCCCTGTAGCAGCCGCCCCTGGAGCAGCCGCCCCTGGAACCCGAGCAGCCGCCCCTGGCCCCTGAAGCAGCCGCCCCTGGTGCAGCCGCCCCTGGACCCAGAGCAGCCGCCCCTGGCACGTGAAGCAGCCGCCCCTGGTGCAGCCGCCCCTGGACCCAGAGCAGCCGCCCCTGGCCCCTGAAGCAGCCGCCCCTGGTGCAGCCGCCCCTGGTGCAGCCGCCCCTGGACCCAGAGCAGCCGCCCCTGGCCCCTGAAGCAGCCGCCCCTGGTGCAGCCGCCCCTGGACCCAGAGCAGCCGCCCCTGGCCCCTGAAGCAGCCGCCCCTGGTGCAGCCGCCCCTGGACCCAGAGCAGCCGCCCCTGGCCCCTGAAGCAGCCGCCCCTGGTGCAGCCGCCCCTGGACTCCGTGCAGCCGCCCCTAGACCCAGAGCAGCCGCCCACGGCCCCTGCAGCAGCCGCCCCTGGTGCAGCCGCCCCTGGACCCAGAGCAGCCGCCCCTGGCCCCTGAAGCAGCCGCCCCTGGTGCAGCCGCCCCTGGACCCAGAGCAGCCGCCCCTGGCCCCTGAAGCAGCCGCCCCTGGTGCAGCCGCCCCTGGACCCAGAGCAGCCGCCCCTGGCCCCTGAAGCAGCCGCCCCTGGTGCAGCCGCCCCTGGACTCCGTGCAGCCGCCCCTAGACCCAGAGCAGCCGCCCACGGCCCCTGCAGCAGCCGCCCCTGGAGCAGCCGCCCCTGGACCCCGAGCAGCCGCCCCTGGCCCCTGAAGCAGCCGCCCCTGGTGCAGCCGCCCCTGGGCCCTCGAGCAGCCGCCCCTGGACCCAGAGCAGCCGCCCCTGGCCCCTGCAGCAGCCGCCCCTGGACTCCGTGTAGCCGCCCCTGGACCCGCGACGCCGCCCCTGGACCCCGTGCAGCCGCCCGCCGAGCGCCGGCCCTGCTCGCCCGGCGAGCGCCTTCTCTTCCAGCCACTGGTGAGCACCTGCCTTGTTTGCGCGCTACCGCGCCCCCTGCCGGCCTGCCTGCCTGCCTGCCTGCCGTGCCTGCCCTGCACGCGCTGCTGCTACTACTGCTACTGCTGCTACTGGCGGTGGCCAGATGCAGCTCCAGCGATGTCCGCGTGAGTCCCTCACGCCCCAGCAACTTAGTGAGTGGTACGCTAGTTGGGGTTGTAGGGGTGGCCGCGCTACTACTGCTGCTACTGCTGCTACTGCTGTTACTGCTGCTACTGCTGCTACTACTCCTACTGCTGCTACTGGCGGTGGCCAGATGCAGCTCCAGCGATGTCCGTGCGAGTCTCTCACGCCCCAGCAGCTTAGTGAGTGGTACGCTAGTTGGGGTTGTCGCGGTAGCCGTCGTAGCTGTCGCCCTGGAGCTGGTCAGTTGGGAGCGTCTGGCAGTGGCCAGCTGCAGCTGCAGCGGCGTCCACGTGAGACACTTACGCCCCGGCAGCTTCACGAATGGTACGCTCAGAGTAGAGGGTCTTTGAGTACCGTTCGCTGCCCGTACGTCATTCGCACAGGTGATCGGACTGGTCAGGCTTGCGGGACGCTTGGTCACACACAGTCCCGCTGCTTCGCCCGTCTGAGTGACGCCTGGCGTACCGAGTTTGGCGACGAGGCTGAGCTCCCCGACTGGGTGGAGCTGCTTGGGCAGAGGGTAGATATATTTGCTCTTGACTATGATGCTATTCTCACTGCCATGTATGCATTGCCTACTAGTGCTGACCGTGCCTGTTACCTGTGCGTACCGCCTGACCCAAGTATAGAGCCTGCCGCTCCAGGTGCTAGTGAGTCTGCTCTCTCTGGTACTGCGCCTGCTGAGGCCTTGTACACCTTCACACTTGACTCTGGTGCTTCTCGCTCCTTCTTTCGCGACAGCACCACCCTCACGCCGCTCAGTCGGCCGATTCCAGTCTCCCTGGCAGACCCCTCTGGGGGTCCAGTCCGTGCGACCTACTCCACTGTCCTCCCTTGTCCTGCTGTCCCGTCCGGCAAACTGTCGGGTCTTTACCTCCCCTCGTTCTCTACGAACTTGGTGGCGGGTTCCGCGCTCCAGGACGCGGGTGTTCACCAGTTCACCCCTGCCTACGAGCGTGTGACACACTACACGTGTGCTCAGACGGGTCGTCACCTGGCTACTTTCACTCGGCAGCCTGTGTCGGGCCTGTACACACTGACCACTGAGTCCCCTCAGGTAGCTGCGTCTGCGTCTGCGTCAGGTCAGTTGTCAGCCCCCTGCTCGTGTCGCGCCTTGTCGCACCAGACGGTCCTTTGGCACCACCGCCTTGGTCACCCCTCGGTGCAACGCCTTCGCAGCATGCACCGCCGGGTCCTTGTCTCTGGTCTTCCCAGGGTTCTCCCTCCCCTCCCACCCTCACCTGCTCCTCCCTGTCTTCCCTGTGTCGAGGGGCGGCAGCGCGCCGCTCCTCACTCCTCCTCGTTCCCTCCCACAGAGGCTCCCCTGCAGACTCTCCACCTGGACGTGTGGGGCCCAGCCCGCGACCGTGGACAGGGCCACGAGCGGTACTTCCTGCTGGTCGTCGACGACTACACGCGTTACACCACGGTCTTCCCCTTGCGCACCAAGGGTGAGGTCCCTGATGTTTTGATCCCTTGGATCCGCGCTGCTCGTCTCCAGCTCCGCGAGCGGTTCGGGACGGATTTTTCCGTCCTGCGTCTGCACTCTGACAGAGGTGGTGAGTTCTCCTCCGACATCTTGGCAGCCTTCTGTGAGGAGCATGGCATCACCCAGTCGTTCATGCTTCCGGCCTCTCCGCAGCAGAATGGGGTTGCTGAGCGCCGCATTGGCTTAGTCATGGAGGTCGCTCGTACCTCCATGATCCATGCGGCTGCCCCCCATTTTCTGTGGCCGTTTGTGGTCCGGTACGCCGCGCATCAGCTCAACCTCTGGCCCCGTGTCTCCTTGCCGGAGACCTCACCCACACTGCTGTGGACGGGGAAGGTTGGCAATGCGTCGCATTTCCGGGTCTGGGGTGCTCGTGCCTTTGTCCGCGATACCACCGCGGACAAGCTCTCCGCCCGCGCTGTTCCCTGTGTCTTCCTTGGCTTTGTCCCTGACGCGCGTGGTTGGCAGTTTTACCACCCCACCTCGCGCCATGTCTTCCCCTCTCAGGACGTCACGTTCGACGAGTCGGATCCCTTTTACCGTCTCTTCCCCTACCGCACTGCCCCTCTCCCCCCCCCGCCGCTCTTCCTCGCTCCAGGTGCTGCCCAGGTAGACCCCCTCCCCGCTCCCGGTCCTGCTCCTTCAGGTGTGTCTCAGGTAGACCCTCCCCCCTTGACTGCGCCGGCTGAGGTCACTGGTGACTCAGGTCCTGCTGAGGGTGGTCCTGCTCGGGGTACTACTTCTGGGGGTGCTGAGCCTGGGGGTGCTGAGCCTGTGGGTGCGGAGCCTGGGGGTGCGGAGTCTGGAGCTCCTGAGGGTGCTGGAGCTGGAGGTTCTGGAGCTGCTGAGGGCACTGGCGCTGGAGGCTCTGGAGCTGCTGCGGGTGGCGCTGAAGGTTCTGGAGCTGCTGCGGGTGCTGGTGCTGGAGGTTCTGGAGCTGCTGCGGGTGCTGGCGCTGAGGGTTCTGAGTCTGCTGTTGCGCAGTCTCCCTGGAGAAGCCGCCTTCGTCCGCGTGTGCCTCTCACCTCACAGTAGCTGCACGACTGGTACGGTCGCCGTCAAGGTCGCGCTTCTGGAGCTCGAGGCTCTGCCGCTGGAGGTGTTTCTGCTGTCGTCACTGGAGCTGGGAGTGGTGCTGGTCCCGGAGGTGCTCGTACTGGAGGTACTAGAGCTGCTGGGGCTGGAGGTGCTGCTGAGTCTGAGGGTGCTGCTGCTGGAGACCCTGGGTCTGGGGGTGCTACTGCTGGAGACACTGAGTCTGGAGACCCTGGGACTGGAGGTGCTGGTTCTGGGGGTGCTGCTGCTGGTGGAGCTGGTCCTGGAGGAGCTGGCGCTGAGGGTTCTGGAGTTGCTGGAGGTGCTGGAGCTGCTGGGGGTGCTGGAGCTGCTGGTGCTGGTGGCCCTGCACAGCCGCGTCTGTTCTTCGCTCCACCGTCTTCGTCGTCTCAGCCACCGCCTGACTCTGTGCTTCGCCAGGTTCTTAGTCTCCCTTCGTCTACTGGTCTTCCGTTACAGCCTGGCTCACCGCTGCCTGCTCCTTCTCCTTACACTGAGCAGACAGGGGGTTTTACTGAGCGTCGTGAGCCTGCGTCGCGTCCTGTCTCGCCTGTCCGTTCTCGTAGTTCCGGTCGCCGTGTTCCTCGTTCGCGTCAGCCGGCTGTCCCCGGCACCCACCTCATAGTTCGTCGTCCTTCCTCTCCTCCGCAGCGTGTTCCCCTGCCGTCCCCTCCTGCGTCTTCTCTGCCTTCCGTTCCTGAGCCTGAGTCTGACCGCACCCGTGCTGCTCACTCTACTGTCACGCGTCTGCTAGCCACAGTTGTCACTGACCCGTCGTTTGAGTCTGCTGCTGCGTCTGCTTTTGTTTTTGAGCTTGTTGAATTTGCTGCTGCCTGTCGTCTAGACTACGCCGCTAGTCTTGTTGCTGAGTCTGAGTCTGTCTGTCCTCCGTCCGTCGGGGGTGAGTGTGCTCTTGGCACGGACGTCCTTGAGGACAGGCAGGAGGACCTTGAGTGTCTTGCAGCCGCTGCGCCTCATCTCGTGTCCATGCTGCTTGCCCCTGAGGGAGACCCGGATGCTCCAGACATCCCGACCCCGCGCTCATACGCTGAGGCGATCGCGGGTGAGTACTCCTCTCAGTGGCAGACAGCCATGGACGCAGAGATGGCATCCTGGAAGTCCACAGGCACTTACGTTGACGAGGTTCCCCCTCCTGGGGCGAACATCGTCAGTGGCATGTGGATTTTCAGGGTGAAGCGGCCGCCAGCTTCTCCGCCTGTCTTCAAGGCTCGTTACGTTGCTCGAGGTTTCAGTCAGCGAGAGAAAGTAGACTTCTTCCAGACCTTCTCCCCCACTCCGAAGATGACCACTCTTCGGGTGCTGCTGCACGTTGCCGCTCAGCGTGACTACGAGCTTCACTCTCTTGACTTCAGCACAGCTTTCTTACAGGGCAGCCTGCACGAGGAGATCTGGCTGCGCCGCCCGCCTGGCTTCACTGGGTCGTTCCCTCCTGGTACCCAGTGGAGCCTCCGGCGGCCGGTCTACGGTCTCCGCCAGGCGCCACGTGAGTGGCACGACACACTGAGGACGACACTTGCGGCTCTTGGGTTTGCTCCGTCTACTGCTGACCCGTCGCTGTTTCTGCGCACAGACACATCGCTGCCGCCGTTCTACATCCTCGTGTACGTCGACGACTTGGTCTTTGCCACTGCTGACACTAAGGCTCTCGCCCTGGTGAAGTCGGAGCTGCAGAAGAGACACACGTGCACAGACCTGGGTGAGCTGCGCAGCTACCTTGGCTTGCAGATCACCCAGGACAGAGCACGCCGCACCATCACACTGACTCAGTCACACATGGTGCAGCAGGTCTTTCAGCGCTTCGGCTTCACCTGGTCCTCGCCACAGCGCACTCCTCTGGCTACAGGCCACTCGCTCTCAGCTCCACCTTCGGACGAGTCCGTAGAGCCGAGTGGCCCGTACCCAGAGCTAGTGGGCTGCCTCATGTACCTGATGACCTGCACTCGACCTGACCTTGCGTACCCTCTTGGCCTTCTGGCCCGCTACGTGGCTCCTGGTAGGCACCGAAAGGAGCACATGGATGCTGCGAAGAGGGCACTGCACTGCCTGTGCAGTACATCGAGCATGGGGCTCGTGCTTGGAGGGCGGAGCCCAGTTGTCCTCACTGGGCACTCAGACGCTTCTTGGGTTGACGACCAGGCTACACAGCGGTCGTCACAGGGTTACACTTTCAGCCTTGGCTCCGGTTCTGTTTCTTGGCGTTCTACTCGCTCGTCTTCTGTTCTGAGCTCCAGCTGTGAGGCTGAGATCTACGCCACAGCCATGACTGCTCAGGAGTTACGCTGGCTCACCTACCTGCTGACCGACTTGGGAGAGAGGCCTCGTTCTCCTCCAGTTCTGTACGTCGACAACTAGGCCGCCATTGCCTTGTGTGAGGAGCACAGACTGGAGCACAGAACGAAGCACATCGCTCTGCGTTACTTCCTGGCTCGAGAGTTGCAGCAGCGTGGTCAGCTTCGTCTTGCTCACGTGGCCACTCAGGCCAACACTGCTGATATATTCACCAAGGCACTTCCGTCTGGTGATCATCAGCGTTTCTGCACTTTGTTAGGCCTTGTGCCCACTTTTCCTCACTTGCTGTAGACTTTGCTTGTACTGTGATCTATATATATATCTCTGCATGCTTGTTCTGCTAGGTAGAGATCACTGTACTACTGTTGTTGCATATATACCTCTGCATGTGAACTGGCCTTGTGGCCCTTTGCTTGTGCTCAGAGTGTGTGGTGACGTTGTGATCCACCCTGAGCTTGCTTTGCTTCTTTTGACTGGTCTTGTGACCTCTTGCTCTCCCCCACTTTGCCTATGGGGGTGTGTCAAATATATATATGTTATATGTTGTAGTTATTGGTAGGCTGTAGTGGGGTAGATTCTGTGGGGTATAACCCCTTAGGATTTTCCTACTTGTAAAACTCTCTCGATAGTTGAATCCATCCTTGCCTAAGTCTCGACACATCAGCCACTGTCGCCACCCCCGTAGGCTCCCCCCCACATCGGCAGCCACGACAGGTGTGTTGGCGGCAGGTGCAGGAAGAGGAGGAAGGGCGAGAGGGGGGGGGAGGAGAGGGGGACGATGGCAGCACTGTCCGCAGTGCCATCTGCCACCCCCTTCGCCTCCCCTGCACAGCAGCAGTCGCAGCTGGAGCAGTTGTATTATGCAACACGCAATTATACGTAGAAGCACCACCTTTGACGAACGCGACTGCTACTGTACATGTAGAGCTTCAAACTCGAAATGCCACTTCAAAACGCACAAATCTTCAGTTACTAGTACCTCCGCAAAACATATTCAGGTCGTATGTCATATTTCAGGAATGCAAAGAGGCAATATTACGATGGGTCACTCATGAACTATGGCATGCTTCTATACGACATGACACCAACAAAGAAACTCAAGGCTATAAAAAAAAACCCATGGAAAATAGAATGGCCCCTATGAAAAAGGGCAACTCCTACATAAACCGTTGCCGAAATTATCAAACATAAGAGTCCATAACGAAAGGCATTTTTGTCACAATTGTACTCACTAGTCTTGATTCCAAATGGAGATTGTACAAAGCCCTACTTAGTTAACAGGGTATAATATTTGAGGCCACCTCCACACAAGTTTTATTCCTAAACGGCAAAACTTTAACCTCCCCATCAAGAAAGGGCTCCTCAAAAAGAAAGGTTTGCCTTTTACTATGTATCTAACATGTAAGTGAGCTCACAAGTGCATACAGGGGGGAAGATTATAGCAGGCCATGCTCTCTATAGTGTAGTCTTATCCTAGCTTGCAGAGGGTTGTGGCTGATATCCCTGTGGGGGGCAATGGGGCATGGCATGGCATGGCATGGCATGGCATGGCATGGCAGGGGTGAGGCATGGGGGTGTCAGGAATAGGGCAAGAAGACTTATGTTTGCGATGGAAGGAAGTGGGAGAGAAGGGTGGGGAAGGAAGGTGGGGAAGGAAGGTGGGAGAGGAAGGTGGGAGAGGAAAGGTGGGAGAGGAAGGTGGGAGGCGGAGGTACCATAGGTGGAAGGGGATGCAACGGGCTTACACATTTGCAATGGAGAGGAGAGATGGTGATGCCACATGTGGAATGCATGGGGCTTACACATTGACGAGCGGGCTTACACATTGACGAGCGCAGGAAGGTTTGCCAAGGATGGTGGGATGGGCCCTGACAGATCGTTGTAGCTCACATCCCTGCAAGGAGAGATGGCGTGCAGGGGGGGAGAGAAGCGGGGGAGACGAGAGAAGAAGCCAAGATATGAGTGTGTGTGTGGGAGGGTGGTGTGCGTGTGGAAGGAAGTGAGTTGGATATGGGGGCTGTTTGGGTGGGGGTGTTGGGGCGGTGCATCTGACCCACAGGTGATACTGCAAGATAACACAGCCATGACTTGACGGCTGGGAATGGAGATGGAGGTGGGAGATGGAGGTGGGAGATGGAGGTGGGAGATGGAGGTGAGAGATGGAGGTGCCATAGGTGGGTTGGAAAGAAGGTACTCATAGAGTGGCAAGGGCAGCGAGGCCTGAGAATGATGCTGGGGTGGGCCATGTGAAACGGTTGTGGCTCATTTGCCTGTCGGATGGGAGAGCTGGAATGGGTCAGACGCCTGTGGATGGATGCTCATCATGAAGTCGTCGCATCCCATGCCTCCCATGCCTCCCATGCCCCACATGCCCCACATGCCTCGCATGCATGCTCATGCATCGCACATGCCACAACCTGCCACTCACATGAACTCCACGAGGTGTGGGGCAGCAGGAGAGGCGGAGAAGGGGCCCTCCAGGGCGTTGTGGCTCAGCGAGCTGACGAGCAATGGGGGCAATGGGGGGCGCCGCAAGGAGCAATGGGGAAATGGGGGGCACCGCACGGAGGCACAGCAGTGGGGTCATTGGGGAGGGCTGTCCATGCGAAGTGGGAACTTATGTCTATGCGTGCGCGCTGTGCAGGCACGCAGGGAGCATGCACTGTTTGAATCGAATGGACAAGCAAGGCAGGATTGTAGGCAAGCAGAAGAGAGCAGAGAGGAGAGCACGAAGCACAGTCACCAGCAGATTCAGGGATTCACCAACAGCAGGGTTTATGGTCAGTATAGCCCAGTCTTTATGGCAGGGAGGGAGAGCACAGTCTCTATAGCCCAGTATCCACATGCCTCTCCACTTCTTCCCAGCCGACCTCTCCTCTTGGTTTACTCACAGGAAAATCAGAGACGAGGGCAGCATAGGCAGGGAGCCAGCCAGGGCGTTGTGGGAGAGATCCCTGCAGGCAGGCGGGTAGACGGGCAGAGAGGCACGCAGGCAGGCAGTCAGGCAGGCAGGTAGGCAGACAGGCAGGCATGCAGGCAGGCAGGCAGGCGGGTGGGCGGGCGGGCGAGCGGGCGGGCGGGCAGGCAGGCAGGCAGGCAGGCGGGCGGGCGGGCAGGTAGGCAGGCAGGCAGGCAGCGAGGGAGAGATGCTGCACGGTTCAGGTTACAGAATACTAGGCACAACGGCGGCACTGTTGCTGCGAATCTGCAACATAGTAACGGTAAGCCACGAGTGTGCTAATCAGAAAGGTGCTTGACCGGTCATAAGAGGCGAGGCGTACAGCTCTGAGAGGCCAGTGAGGGCGGAGATGGTGGCGGGAAGGGAGCCTGAGAAGCCGTTGCCCGCTGCCCTCCTGAGATTGGGGGGGGAGTGGGTTGGGGCGTGCAGAGAGCAGAGCAGTGATTAATGAGTGGGGGAGGTGGAAATCAGGATCATATGGCCCACACAGAGGGTGAAAGGGCTGCTCCCGAACAGGCTCGTTCCACTGATCTGGATACGGTGCTCAATCCTTGTCTCATGACACGGGTCGACCCGCCGCCTACGTCGGCGGCGACTACAGAGCATGCTGCTGCTGCTTTGCGCTCCCCTGTTTTAGCAGCAGCTGCTGCTGGCACTCTGTGGCCTCGATACACATGACAAGGTGAATCGTGGGCAGCAGGTAGAGTGACGTGACACGCGAGCAGCAGGCAGAGCGACACGCGAGCAGCAGGCAGAGCGACACGTGAGCAGCAGGCAGAGCGACACGCGAGCAGCAGGCAGGGTGACAAACGAGCAACAGGTACGCAGGCAGATGGGCGGGCAGGGAGGCAGCTCACAGGGTGCTGAGGCTGGTGAGAGCTGTCCACTCGGCTGGAAACGACGAGGAGCGCGCGGGGTGGAGGGAGGGAAGGTGGAGGAAGGAACGGCCGTCGGGTGCTGACACATCCCTGGGGAGAGGAGGGAGGGTAAGGTGGGTGGTGAGGTGAGAGCAAGGTGGTTGATGAGGAGAGATCATAGTGGGTGGTGTGGAAATAGCACGGTGCGTGGTGTGCAGCGAGCATGATGGGTGGTGCAGTGCAACAAGGGGTTGACAACGTGAGAGCATTGCTAGAGCCTAGAGCAACGTGAGAGTCACACCTGAGAAACAATGCTGGCAAAAAGAAGGGGGAAACAGCAGGGTTGGTGGAGTGGTAATTACAGGAACTGCAGGTGGGGGAGTCCTCCGATCCACGATGGCACGCTGGGGAACGTGAGATAGCTCAGATCACTGCTCCACACGGTGGGAATGGCAGCAAGGGGCGCGGTAACGTTGCTTGCTTGCAGGCACAAGCAATATAAGCAACTTGCCTTAATCACTGAATAATAAATGCATCAGCAGATATATCAAGGGCGAAGGAGATCAACCATCCACGACCACGACCACGACCAACCGTTGTAGCGCTGCCAGCTGACCCTTACAGCCCAACCTGAATGAGCTACAAGCACTCACGGGGCAACTCACGGGGCAACTCACGGGGCATTAAAAAGCATTATTGAGAATGAAAAACATTTCACCCTTTTAAATCAGTGTACAGGTTTTTTTAGGCTGTTTTTGGTAGGGTACGAAATATTTTACCCTAACAGTCAGGGTACGAAATATTTTAACCCTGATTTGAAAGAGTGGACCTAAACCTATTTTGGGCCCTGGTCGCGGCGCCCCGGGGGCCCGCGCGCTGTACCCTCCCGTCGCCCGTCGCGGCGTCCCGGGGGCCCGCGCGTCGCCCCTTCTCCCGTCGCCCGTTGCGGCGCCCCGGGGGCCCGCGCGTCGCCCCCTCCCGTCGCCCGTCGCGGCGCCCCGGGGGCCCGCGCGTCGCCCTGCCCGTCGCCCGTCGCGGCGCCCTGGGGGCCCGCGCGTCCCCCCCTCCCGTCGCCTGTCGCGGCGCCCCAGGGACCCGTGCGCTGCCCCACTTCCGCTCGCACGCCGCCCCAGCTGCTGCCCGCGTATCTGCCCCACGCCGCACGCGCGCCGCCTGCGTTTGGGGTATGGGGGTGGCGGGTATGGGGGTGGCGGGTGTGTGAGCCGTCCCCTGCTCCTCCTCCTCCTCCGTCTCCCACTGCTGCAGCTGCCGCTGAGGGGGGTGGGTGTGTGGGAGCCGAGGGAGTGGCGCTAGGGGGGTGTCGTGGGAGTCGAGCTAGGGGTGCAGCAAGGGGTGTGTGAAAGGGGTGTGGGACAGTTGGGGGAGGTTGAGCGGAGGTAGCGCCAGTAGTCCGGATGCCCTTGCTCGTGTCCGGTAGCCCAGCGAGCCTGCTGCGCCAGTCGCCCGTGGGTCCGTTGCTCCTGCCACTCGTCTTAGCTGCGGAGCCAGTTACTCCTGTAGTCCGAGGCCCTTGCTCAGGTAGCCACCGTGCGCGCCGCTCCTATTGCCCGTGTGTCTGCGGCTTCACCTGTCGCCTCCTATCTCCACTCCTCTCACAGTCCCTCCTCCTCCTCACTTGCCCTGTGTGATTGCCTCTAGCTTTGCTTGTGCTTGTGAACTTCTTATGCGACTGTTTGTTGTGCTGATCATACCCCACTTTGCCTATGGGGGTGTGTCAGAATGCTATAATTCTCTAGTCTGCAGTGGGGTACTCTATAGTGAGTACAGCCCAAATTAGTGTTTGCTATATGTATCGTATCTGCTGCTAGTGCAATCCCCTCTTTCTCTTTCTAACTTTCTGTTAGCGTTTATCGAAAAGTGCTGCTGTGGGTGCTGCCCCTAGAGCATGGGCAGAATTGCATGCAGTGACAGACAGACACATACCACTCAACTACCAGCACACAAAAGATGCATGCACGTACGTCACATTTACACCCATGCGCAACATATCTAAAATAATCAAAACAATAAGAGAGCTGTTATGTACAGTAATGTGCAAGTTCTTGACATCATGCACGTGGGGCTGCACGCAAGCAAAAACACACACGCAAGCAAGAACCCACACGCAGCAAGGCACATGCACGTACACTTGAGGGGCGTGCAGGAGGAGCGGAAGGAGGAGTAGACACGGCAGAAGGAGGAGGTGTTTCTCTGCGGCACCACACACTCACTGCCGTCCGCCGGGCATGTCAGCCCCGAGGCAGTGGTGTTGCTGGGGGTGAGGGGGGTGGAGAGGGGGGAAGGATGCAGATAGGTGAGGTGAAAACGGGAAAGGTAGAGGGGAGGAGGCACCTCATGTTAATGTGCTGATAATTGCATGATATGCAGAGAGAGTGGCGCATGGGATAGTAGAGCGCCGCATTGGCTTAGTCATGGAGGTTGCTCGCACCTCCATGATCCATGCGGCTGCTCCCCATTTTCTGTGGCCGTTTGCGGTCCGATACGCCGCGCATCAGCTAAACCTCTGGCCCCGTGTCTCTGTGCTAGAGACCTCGCCTACACTGCGTTGGACGGGGGAGGTTGGCGATGCGTCGACGTTTCGGGTCGGAGGCGCGCTCTCCCTTGTCCGCGATACCACTGTGGACAAGCTCTCTCCTTGCACTCTCCACTGTGTCTTCCTTGGCTTCCCCACCGACGCCCTGCCCTGGCAGTTTTACCACCCTGCCTCGCGCTGGGCCCTGTCCTCACGGGACATCACCTTTGATGAGTCGGTCTGCTTCTACCGTCTCCACCCGCACGCGTCATTCCACCGCCCCTCTTCCTGGTCTCAGGTTCCCCCTCGGTAGACCCCCTCCCCCCACAGGGTCCTGCTCCCTCAGGTGTGTCTCAGGTCGATCCACCCCCCTTGGTTGAGCCTTTGGAGGTCTCCTCTGACACCTCTGGCCCAGCTGAAGGGGAAGACCCCGCTGCTGACAACACGGTGACCACTCGCCGCTCCCCGCGCTTGGAGACCCCTCCTGGTTTTCCACCTCGGTCGTCTTCTCCGCCTCCGCAGCTTGTCGTTGTGGAGTCTGGTGCTGCTGGAGGTGGTGACACTGGGGGTGCAGACTCTGAAGGTACTGGTCCTGGGGTTATCGACTCTAGAGGTGCTGAGTCTGGGGTGCTTACTCGGGGGGTGCTACAAGTCCAAGTGGTGGTGGAGCCGTTGGTGCTCCTACTTGAGGTCCTGGCGTTGGACCACTGCAGCAGTCTCGTCGAGGAGACCCTCTCGCCGCAGCAGCTTCGCGACTAGGTTGTTCGACGGGGCCGGGTTGTTGGAGGTTGGAGTACCGGTCCTAGAGGTACTGGTGCTGCGGTGCTACTGGTGCTGGAGGTGATGCTGGTGTTGGAGGTCATGGAGCTACTCGAGCTGCTGGTGCTGGAGGTGCTGGAGTTGGAGGTGCTCGAGGTGCTAGAGTTGCTAGTACTAGAGGCGCTGGAGCTGCTGGTGCTGGAGGTACTAGAGCTGCTGGTGCTGGAGGTGCTGGAGCTGGGCGTGCTGGAGGTACTGGAGCTACTGGTACTCGAGGTGTTGGAGCTGCTAGTGCTGGAGGTGCTGGAGCTGCTGGTGCTGGAGGTGCTAGAGCTGCTGAAACTAGAGGTACTGGAGCTGGAGGTGCTGGAGGCACTGGAGCTGCTGGTACTGGAGGTGCTGGAGGTGCTGGTACTGGAGGTACTGGAGCTGCTGGTGCTGGAGGTGCTGGAGCCGGTGGTGCTGGAGGTACTGGAGTTGGAGGTGCTGCAGGTCCTGGAGCTGGAGGTACCGGAGGTACTAGAGCTGCTGGTGCTGGAGGTGCTAGTACTAGAGGTACTGGAGCTGCTGGTGCTGGAGGTACTAGAGCTGGAGGTGCTGAAGGAACTGGAACTAGAGGTGCTGGGGGTACTGGAGCTACTGGTACTGCAGGTGCTAGAGCTGGAGGTACTAGAGGTGCTAGAGCTGGTGGTACTGGAGGTGCTGGAGGTGCTGGAGCTGCTGGCGGGACGGGTACTACGCCGCGCCGACCGTTCTTCTACCCGCAGCTGAAGCTGTCCCTGCCACCGCCTGACTCGGCAATTCGTCAGGTTCTTAGTCTTCTGTCTTCCACTGGCCTTACTCCGCCTTTCCTGTGTCCTCCGCCTCTCCTGTGTCCTCCGCCTGACCAGGCCGCAGTTACTGCCAGGCTCTCCACTGCCTGCTCCTTCTCCGTACCCTGCGTAGACAGGCTCCCTGGTAGAGCGTCATGAGCCTGAGCCTCGTCCTGCCTCACCTGTTCGCACTGTTAGTCGTTCTCGTCGTCCTCGTCCTCCACCTGTACGCGGCACGCACACCATGACACTTCGTCCTTCCTCTGTTCCACAGCGTGTTGCTCTACCGTCTCCTCCGGCTTCCTCTCTTCCTGACGTTCTTGACCCTGAGTCCGACCTTGCACGTGCTGCTAGTCCTATGTCACGCGCTTCTTGGCTACGCTTGTCCCTAATTCTTCCTTTGAATCTACTGCCGTGACTGCCTTAGTCACCGAGCTCGTTGACTTTGCTGCTACCTGTCGTCTCGACTACTTCGCGAGTCTTGTTACAGAGTCTAAGTCTGACTGCCCTCCGTCCGTCGAGGGTGAGCTTTCCCTTGGCACTGATGTCCTTGAGGACAAGCAAATTGTGCTTGAGTGCTTCGCGAGCGTTTTACCTCATCTTGTATCCATGCTGCTTTGCCCCGAGGGAGACCCGGATGCACTAGACATCCCTACCCCGCGCTCTTACGCAGAGGCGATTACGGGTGAGTACTTCTCTCAATGGCAGATAACCATGGACGCAGAGATGGCTTCTGGGAAGTCCACACGCACCTACATCGATGGAGTTCCCCCCCCTGAGGCGAACATAGTCGATGGCATGTGGATTTTCAGAGTGAAGCGGCCGCCGGGTTCTCCGCCTGCCTTCAAGACGCGTTACGTTGCTCGAGGCTTCAGTCAGCGACAGGGGGTCGACTTCTTCCATACCTTCTCCCCCACCCCGAAGATGACTACTCTTTGAGTGTTGCTACACGTTGCAGCACAACGTGACTACAAGCTGCACTCCCTCGACTTCTCCACAGCTTTCTTGCAAGGCAGCCTTCACAAGGAGATATGGCCGCGCCACCCACCTGGCTTCACTGGGTCGTTTCCTGAAGGTACCCAATGGAGCCTTCGGCGGCCAGCCTACGGTCTCCACCAGGC